GATGTTCTTCTCTGAGAAATCATTCCCTGGTTTGGAATCCCAACCTCTCTTCAGTCAGATAATGGCCCTGAGTTCATTTCCCAGATTTCCTAAAACTTGTCAATGGCTCTGAACATTCCCTGGCATTTCGATATCCCATCCACCCTCAGTCTTCATGGAAGGTAGAATGGTTAAAATGTCACAGGAACTTCACCTTGACTGGGTAAAACTCTTGCCTCTGGCCCTCCTTAGGCATAGGGCTTTCCCCAAAAACCCCATTTCATCTCATCCTTCGAACTCATGTATTGGTGGCCAGTTTTACTCCCAGTCTCGCACCTAAAACCTCTCCCCTTCCTGATCACCTGCTTACTCCCCTACTATATCACCTACGCTCTCTACTGTGGTATTTTACCGACCACTCATAACCTCAACCATGTGCTAACCCATGCCCACCACTGATTAAAATAGGAGATCATGTATTATTTTCTCCCCCAGGTCAAACTCTCTCACCCTTTTCTCTTAAATGGCAGGGTCCCTTCAGAGTAATTCTTTTGACTCCCACAGCTGCCAAGCTCGAGGGAATTCCTCATTGGATTCACCTGTCACATTTTTTTTAAATTGTTTATCCCTCCAGCTCAAGATGACCCCTCATACACAGTAACTCAGACAGAACCCTATTCCCTCAGGTTCCAGAGGACACCAAGTTCAGCCTCCCTTACTCCAGTTCAAGGAAAATAAGGGTCCCATCCTTATTAAATTAACTACCTTGTGCCAATACACTCGCCCTTCTCCTCCTTTTCCTATATACAATTTCTCCATATACCTCCAATGCCATGCTTAAATTTCCAAATAACCATTTAGCTGTTTTTACAGGAATCATCATCAGACATAGAGCCAAAGGTACAAGGATTGTCAAAGGTCCAGGTGGTAAGCAAAACCTTAACAGGTTCCTTAACATACAGGTTCATCATTGACTGCAGCAGTGTCTCCTGGATGTTGAGGTAATGCCATAATACACTCCATCATAGTAATTATGGACGGTTAATATATCTAGAATTTATTTCTTTTTAAGACACCTTTTAAGCACCAGGGAGCCAGTTTGACCCACCTGAATGGACCAGACTCAGGCAGACTAAGTATCATTTAATTTTTTTATCATTCGTCGTCTTGGGAATCCCTAAACCCCCATCCATCATTTAATTCTTTCTCTGTTATTTCTGGTCTCAGAAACCCTTAAGCCCCCCTCATCTTAAACCTCCCCTTTATTAATCTAATTTTTCTTCTCCTAAATATAATTTTTGTCTTTCCAGCATCTTACGAGGTCCAAGCCATCAGATGACTCCAGTTCCTCAAAGCCCGAAGAAATGCAGTCTTAATCAACCACTCAAGGACGCCAGTGGACGGAATGTGACCAGACAGGATGCATCGGACACCCCAAATCACTCGATGCCCACAAAGTCAGCAGGAAGCAATTATGAGGGACCTGGCTGCGCCCCCATTCCCTATGCATTAAGAACCTTAATCCCCGCCCCCCGAAATTTTTATAATAAACAGAAGAGTGAAATGTAATTCCTTTAGCAATATGTAAGGCTGCACTTCCAGGTTCTGAAGCCGGAGCCTGTACCCCCTGTCCACATGCGTGTGTCGCCTGCCATCTACGTCACCAGCATCTGAAGTAGAGGCCCCCATAAGCAGGCACAGGGAGAAGCATCGCCCATCGTCAGCGTGAGAAGTGGGCACGTCTTCATGCCTGAGTCGCCCGCCAACTGCCTCACCAGCGTCTGACGTAGAAGCCCCTGTGCGCAGGCGCAGGGCTTAGCATCGCCCATCATCAACATCTTTCCCCTCATGCTCATGTGCTAGGAAACCTTTAAAAGCTAAAAGCACCATTCCCACGGCCTCTTCCACCCCATCTGCTCACCACTCCCCGAGCTCCTCTGCACAGATCTTCTTCTTCTTCTTTTTTCTCATTAAACTTGAGCTTAATATCATGGGTTTGTTTGTGTTTTGTGTTCTCTCCCCATCTCCGCAGGACATTTTATTATTTAGCCTCTGTTTTCCTCTATCAGAATGATGGACATAGTTTTTGTTTAGGCCTTTGACCATTGTAGTCTCTAATTCTTGGACATTTGTACTGTGTGTGCTGTATTTCTTCCATCTAATGGAGTTGATCCTATTATTTAAATGCAGGAGATTACTCCCACTAATTTAGACTATACTGTCAGCATGGCTGAAAGTGGAAAAATGCAAAAAAATAACCTCAGAAATAGAAAAGTAGGATAATATTTAGCTGCATAAAAGGAATATCTGTGGTTCTCTGCTTAATATCTCCTGTTATTTTTGCTTGGTAATTTAGAGTCGACACAGTGTCTTGCATGGCTATATCAGCAACGTGCATGGTAGGAAATAATAACCACTGTTGTCTGTTATTGGAATTCATGTAATAAAAAAATCAAACAATCATTACAATTTTATCTCATGCTAAGGAGCATAGAAATAAGAACTCTGAGTTCTTAGTAATTATGAGATTGCCTATTTTGATTGGCTATTTCCATACCCTTAGAAACACTATGTCATTCTGACATTGCTAATATACCATTGCATGCAACTAGCTTGTGATGCATATTTCAGGAAACTTTCACACTTAACATCAAGAAATTATCACCAACAAATTTTGCACACATAATTCTATGAGTATGAAAACAATGGAGCATTCCTATATCCTCTGTAAGAGTCTTATAAAGTATACATTATCAGGGTAATTTATGTTATTTAATCAGATGATGCAAGGGGAAAGACAGATTTCCTCACAGCCCCTCAGGGCCTGATAGTGTGCTAGTAATAGATTCCATAACCATGCACACAAACCATTTACCCGAACACAGATGTCACAAAATACAAAGTAAGCGTATGTACGAAGGAGAAAGTATTGATTTTAGAGAAATTATTGTAATTCTTGTGAAGAAAACATAGTGAATTGTTTAATAATGTCCTTTTTCACATATTAATACTGAAATAATATGTTAAGAGTATAAACTGGCTCTTTGAAACCACAATTAATGCCAAATGCATACAGACATGTGTGAATCCACAAAGAAACCTTAAAAACAAATAAACAGTTGTTGAGTTTATGCATGCAATATGAATATTTCTTTCTAAATTAATACCTCATATTATTTTTTTAATTTTCATGACATTGTTGTATACAGTTTGACAACTGAAAACTGTTCAGAGCAGGGCTTGACAGTTCTTTGTTTCCACTCACAATACAAGCATCTCATTCAGGACACACAATCATATTTATGTCTGTGAGGTACAAATGTTTATACATATATAAATATATATACATATCTATAAAAATGTGTATAGTTGTCTAGACAGAGAAAGAATTTAAATGTATATGAAGAGAGCTAACAGTCAAGCATTTAATCATTGGGGAGATTTACTTGGCAAATCAGAAAATTAGACCAACAAGTGTAATTGTCAGCCAGGAAACATAAAAGAAGGCTCCAGTCTGTCAGGTAGGTGGCCAGGTACTGTGCCCCAGCAGCCAAAAACAGGATGAAGCCCTATTTGTCAGAAGTTCTTCTTTTTCAATTTATCAATTGGAGTCACAGACCAGGGTAAGTGACAATTTCTCCTCTCATTCACTTTCAATTTCACTTCTTCTGCTGCAGCACACACTTAGCTGAGAGTAAAAACAAAAAAAATCAATAAGCATCTAAGACAGAGATCTCCAAGGTTACCTCAAGATTTCTCTTAATTGCTGAAACTGAGTTGTTCCTTACATTGGTCCTTATTTCCTGCTCACTTTGAATGCACACGCTCATTCCATCAGAGCCCAGGAGTGATAATAAAAGCGACAGCAGTGTGGGTTCTTTCCAGTCAGGCTCTGGCAATAGTCCAGGTCTCATAGTAGAACCTGGTATAACCAAAGCCCCGGTGTACAATTGCCCAGAATAGGCAGACTGCTCCTCAGTTTTGCAGGAGTCACAACTGTGGAAAGAAGCAAAGGCAGGCATTGCTTGATTCTCAGCCTTATACCTCGGAATCACCCGAATCTGTGTCCTGTGAAGCAAGTAGGATTCTCATTTTGAAGGTACTGCTTCTCTTTCAAGATGTGAGTTTTATTTTCTAAATTTCCATAGTGTCACATTAGTATGAAACAGAAACAGAATATTTTACGAGTATGATGTGGCTATGTAAAATCAAATTAAAGACAAATGCATCCATACATTGTGGAACCACAAATAATATTTTATGAACAAATGTGCAATTTCTAAGTGTATACAAGTATTATGAATATTTCCTTTTAAAAGTAATGCATCAGATTATTCTTTATCATCAGGACACTGTTGCATACAGTATGAAAACTGCGGACTTTCAGAGAATGGGAAAATAACATTTCCACTTGCAAACAAGCATGGCATTTCAGGCACTAATATATATTAGATAATTGATAAACTGTAAGCATTTAAAGATACGTGGGGAACAGAAAATGACAGTACATAGAAGCAATTGACAGCAAAGATTCATAATCAGCCACCTACAGTCAGACATTGCAGCTTTCAAGTATAATGCCTGGATGGAGACAATGGTATCAGATAAAGGATTGGACCATACTGGCCATAGGTGTTTTGTTTTGTTTTGTTGATTTTTGAGTCCGAACACAGGGGAATCACATTTTTGCCTCACACCCCATTTCAATTTCTCAGCTTTAGCTGCAAAATAACTTCCAGTCAGGATAAGAATGAATCAGCAGCTCTGACGGACATCTCCATGATTACCACAGTATTTGCCTTCTTTGCTGGAACTGAGATCACTCTCCTCATTGGTCCTTAATTCATGCTCAATTTGAATGCCCACATTCCTTCAATCAGAGCCCAGGAGCGCTAATAAGAGCGTCAGCAGTGTGGGTTCTTGCCTGTCAGGCTCTGGCTATATCCCAGGTCTCATTTGGACATAGATATAACCAGAGCCTGACTGTACAAGCCGCCAGATTAGACAGACCGCTCCTCACATTCTCAGCAGGCAGTCTGTGAAAATCAGCAAATGCAGGGATTTTATGATTCCCAGCATTATAGCTAAGAGTCTTCTGCTCCTGTCTCAGCTGTAAGAATTAGCAAGCTGCTTCTTAAGCTACTGTTCCTCTATTAAGATTTGAAATTCCTGTCTCAGTCTTGAAGTGTTGCATCACCTGTAAGAAAGAAATTTGAATTCAGAGGTTAGTGTCTGACATACACTAGGAGAACTAAGCTCTTCTGCCCCCTGTGAGATATATGGTGTGCATTGTTCCTGATTGTCAGTGTTCTTCAGTAAGCTTTAGATTTTATGAAAATATCAAGCAGTATCAAGGTTACTTGGCTGCTGCTGCTGCTGGTACTATCACCGAAGTCATGGGTATGCATAGAAATACATTACAGGAAAATTTTTTTTTGTCATGGTCCTGTTGCAACTAACGGTAACAGGTTTAAATCTAAAATGTCAAATTTCATTTCTTGTGTAATTTGCCTATGTGTATCTAATACAAAAGCACAGGAGATATATTAGTTTGACGCCAACGTATTGATCTAGGTCTAAGACAACAAATGTTGAAACGGGGAATGCAAAGACAACATCAGAAAAAGAGAAACGTTGCACAATGCTCAGTTATATAAAACAAACATCTCTGGGACTCTGTACAGCAATATCATATGCATTCTTTTTGCCGTTATGATTATCCTATCTGCATATCTGAGAAACTTTTCTTGGTTGATAATTGATGTTTGAGGGCCATTCCTATGTGGTAAGTGAATGATTTGTAGAGATGGTTAGGAGACGCATATGAATTCAAAGTGTAGGGTGGAAGTATTACCATGCTCTCTGTTTTTGTCCCTGCCTCCAGACACATGCACTACGCACTAAAAATGAATTTTCATAATAGTGTACTCTATATTGTCAAAAAATTCAATATAATTAATTCTCCTGCTACAAATAGTTGTAGGGCAGTGCTTTATCAAAGCAGCAGAAAATATACATCATATAAAGAAAGAAAAATATGTGTGCAAGAGTTGCGTGCCAAAGACTTTGCTGAGACTGCAGTTTCTTTCTTTGGAAAATGGATTTAAATGAATTTAGAAGGTTCCCATATGTCAAAGTGTAACTGCATGACAATGCAAAATGTACATTTCATTTTGAAGAGGTGTGATTAAAATAATAACTTGATGTTCTATTTCATCTTTCCCTAGAAAGCTAGTAAAAATGTCACGGTGGAGTAACCTAAATTGCTTTATATGCACCTTCAAGAAGGTTGCAGGAATCAGTGACTTAGAAGCTGCTCAGGTTGAATGTTCATTTCTTTCTTCATAACTATGAAGTCATCATTAAGTGGATGCTCAGTCAACATAAAAACAGCAAGAAGTCATCATATCATTAACAGAGTTATAGTGATTGTCTGATATTTGCTATAATTCACCATCCACTAGATGGGGATCAAATCTTTTTTTTGGCTTAAATGAAATATATTTTGAAATATTTTATTTTTATACAAAATTCATATATATCCTTCCTGGTTATACACATAAAATTTGACAGATTATTTCTATTAAAATTTTAAAGAAATGTGTTTTTTCTACTTATGTCACTATACTTTTAAAAAAAGGTAATGAATTAGGTAGAACGTAGTCACAATGTAAATATGCTTAGATATTGCAATACATATTTTCTTAAAATCTTTCTCTTAGTCTTTTCAAATACATCAACCATATAATAAATTACAGTGACACTTTGATAACTTAGAAATGAAATTCCTCAAGGACTTTACGTGACTTTTTAGTATCTGTCTTAAAATTACATAAAAGCCCTTTCTTAATGTCTCTGCAGAGAAATGCACACAGTAATAAAACAGCTAAAAACTTGTTCAAGCTTAGTTGAAGAATGTCTTTTTACCAGTGTATTATGCACTATTAAATGCATTAAGTATTGTTTATATCAAGAATCAATCAATTCTCACTAGTAATTTCTCTATGTTGCCCAGGAGATTATTCTACCTTTAAATTCATGTGATTCTTCTGCTCCAAGCTCTAGTGAGCTGTGATCGCAGGAAAATAACCAAGTGTGATATACAATCCCTTAGTATATTTCTTTTATGAATTAGTGTTATGATATTTTCATTTAGAAATTCAACTGACTTAATTTGATAATATTAGTTGGAGAAGTAAGAATTCTTTACATTTTAAAATGAGTTCTTTGAATTCCTTAGGATCTTTTAATCCACCAAGTTATGCCATTTTCTCCTCAATGTATTATATTGTCCTTATAATTTATCAAATGTCCATAGTAAACACGAGATCCCTTATGTTATTACATCATCTAATACAGCTGGTATTAGACTTATAACAAATGTTGAGTAGAAATGTGGAGAAAATCCATGTTTGATTATTTTTATTTGCTGTATTGTGTTTTTCTATGAAGCCTCTGAAGGCAGCAGGATAGGAATAAGTAAGATATCTAATGTGATAACTTTATACTAAAGGACAGTGGGAAACAGGGAAAATAATGTCTGAGAATCTCCAGCGGCCGCATGAATACTCTCACTGCAGGACAGTTTTTCACGGTGGAGTAAAACAACAGCCCACATTGGTCACTGTTTGAAAATTGTTCCAGCAGTATATTGTCCTCCTAGCAGATGATGCAGGACTCTGAGACTGAGACAGGGAAGATAAACCTTAGAGAAGAAATGGCTTAAGAGGCAGGAATATATTCTGAGCAGAGTAAACAGGAACAGTTTCCTCAGAGCAGCGGTAGCAGGTATCTAAGCATTTTCTTGTCTGTGCTAAGTCTCCATTGGCTCTGCCTCCCATGGGTGTCAGCAGCAGGCTTCCTTCTCTGGAGCAGTTTACTGTCAGGCTATGGCTAGATCAGCTACCAGCTGATAGCTGGACTCTAGCCAGGAGCCTGACTGCTAAAATCCCCAACTGAGGAAATTTTTATTTGCTGTGTTTGCCTCTGATTGGAGGAGTATTGCCTTCTAAGTGAGAATTAATTAATTTAGAACCAATCAGAGGAGAGACCTCAAATGTCAGCATAGAAAGCAGAAAAAAAAAAGTCTGCAGTAACCTAGGTGATTTCCACCAGAGCTACTGAATCATCTATTCTCCCCCTCCCCTCCTCACTGTCTTATACAACAGGAACAGGGAAAGGGAAAGGGAAAGGGAAAGATAAACATATACCCTGTGTTCTAGCTACAATTAACAATGGTATCAGGAAGAACACTAATGTAAGGAAAACTCCAATGAGTTTTAAGGAAAGTGGCACTTGAGACAGACCCTTTGCAGCCCTGCTATGCTTGCTGATGCCCCTGGAAGTCTTGTCCCTTTCTGACCAAATACAAAGGAGTTGTGGATGGGGAATGGAATGGAGGTGGGATAAGGTTCTCGGAGGAGAGGATGGAAGGAAGGTTACATTCATCATATAAAATAAATAAGTACATATTAAAAAAAGAACAATAGTCAAATTCAGCCAGTAGTGTTAATGAATATTCATGTGTCTTGATGCTCATTATCTAGCAAAAACCCTAGATTTCTGTCAACATTTTCTGATTATGACTCTTGGCAGACAATTACAATTTGTTGATGAATCATAATTTCCTGTGTCAGTTTACACAAAATAAATAACTATATGCTTGAATTTTATAACTTTTTAATGTATTTAATTTACTAGATTGCCTTTCAAATCTTTTTTTTGAAATTAAAAAGGAAATGTTGCTGTTTCTGTGGAAGTCTGTAGGTTTTCCCTATCATGTCTTTGTTTCCTTTGCTCATAATATCATTCCTATCTCTATGACTGGCCTTGAGGGCTTAGGTACACCTGAATAAATGTGAGCTCACTGACTCTAGACCTAAATTGGGGAACCTGAACAGAATAGAATAACGTAGCCTTTCTGAATGTAGGTGACAGTTGTCTGACATGGGCAGTTTGTGGGACCTCTAGTAGAGGATGCAATGTTTATCTTTAGTGCATGAACTGCCTGTTTGGGGCCAGTTCCATTAGGAGGAATACCTTGTTCAAACTTGATGAAGTGGGAAGGTACTGGTCCTGCCTCAAGTGATGTGAAAATTTTGTTGGCACCCTTGGGAGGCATCACCCTCTAAGATGATTGGATAGTATGTGATAGGGAGCAGATAGGGTGAGTCAGAGGACTGGAGGGTAAGGACTCAGAACTCAAAAGCAAAATGAGACTTTTAGAAATAACAAATAGATAAATACACAAATAAATGAATAAATTAATAAATATGAGAGAATTGTTGTTCTCAAAATCTTTTCTGACATACCCAATTACCACAGAATGTCATACAGTGTCATACAATGAAAAATAATTTTAGAGTGGTAGTTATTTTAGAAGAGATATTCTTAAAATATATGTACAGATTCAAAAATTCTCTGTGTATGCCTGTTACTTTTTATTAGTAATTACAACTGTGTCTAAATTTGTGTTGTCTCATTTTTCTCTATTAGCTTCAGTTAATATGCATAAACTTTTGTATTTTGAAAAGTCCACTCCTTCCCTACATTAGATTTCCTTTTCCATCACCACTATCTTTATTCTATCTGAAGTTCCCCTGTGCTTTCCCTCTCTTTAATAATTGAAATCATTCAAGTAATTTGTGAGGTAAAAGAGTCCATATCAGGTCATGAAAAATAGCTTGCCTCTCTCATCAAGCATCCCCTAGAAAATCGGACTCATTTTCTCCATCAGCTCATTAAATAACAATAGACACTCTGATAGGGGTTAGGATACATGACTACCATCTCTAGTCACACTGGGATTTTTTTTCCTGTATATTGTGACACCATAAGAGTCTGGAAAAAGTTTCTAAAGAATATATTTAGGTATAAAATAGGGAGTACACTCACTGATATAGAATAGTTTACATGCCGCCTCTGATTCAGCTACATCCATGCAGACCTTCTGCCCAGGGTTGAAGGATGCCAACAGCAATGCTGCTTATCCCACTGTGATCACCCCAGAGAGTGCAGGAAAAACTGAGACAGAGAGTCCCCCCTACCAGTTTTCAGTTACCACATTTGAATGGTCCTCAAAGATCAATTATCAACCAAGAAATGTCTCTCAGACATGCCCATAGGATAATCAGAAAGGCAAAATAAATGCTGATGTTATTGCTCTACAGAGACCCCAGAGATGTTGGTTTTATATAACCAAGCATTCTGCAACGTTACTCTTTCTGATCCTGTCCTTTGAATTCCCCACTTCCAACATTTGTTGTCGGAGACCCGAATGTATACCTTGGAATCAAACTATTATATCTGCTGTACTTTTGTAATAGATACATATAGGCAAAGTACACAAGAAATAAAAATTGACATTGGAGATTTTAACCTGTGACCCTAAGTGGGAACAGGACCATAACAAATAAAATTGCTGTATTTTATATATACCCATGATTTTGAACATAGGAACAGCAGCATCTGTGAAAGTTACTGCTTGATATTTTCATTGAATCAAAGGGTTGCTGATAAACACTGACAATCAGGAGCAATTCACAGAATATATCTCACAGGGCATAGAAGAGCTTAGTTCTCCTAGTGTATGTCAGATACTAATGTCTGAATTTGAATCTCTTTCTTACAGATGATACAACACTCAAGACTGAGACAGCGGTTTCAAATATTAATAACTTAATAATATTATAAATATTAATAAGCTTAAGAACCAGCCTGCTAATTCTTACAGCTGAGACAGGAGCAGAAGACTATTAGCTACAATGCTGGGATTCATAAAATCCCTGCATTTACTGATATTCACAGACTCTGCCTGCTGAACGAGTGAGGAGCAGTCTGCCTAGTCTGGCTGATTGTACTGTCAGGCTCTGGTTATATCCAGGTCCAAATGTGACCTGGACTATAACCAGAGCCTGACAGGCAAGAACCCACATTGCTGATGCTTTTATTAGTGCTCTTGGGCTCTGGTTGAAGGTGGGTGTGGATTCAAATTGACCAGGAACAAAGAACCAATAACGAGAGTGATCTCAATTCTGGCAATGGATGCAAATTCTCTGGGAACATAGAGATCTCATTCACAGATGCTGTTTCATTCCTGTCTCCCATACAAAGGTGTGCTATAGTTGAAGGGGCAAACTGAATATAGATGTGAGGGGAACATTTCATTTTTCCTCGGTATTGACTTTAATTTAAAAAAAAAACATGTCCAAAATAAGGGATGATCCTATATTCCTCTACCAGGGCCTATATCCTGGCTATCTACATAAAAGCTTCCATTTCTGCCAGAATTTGGATTATGATGAATTCACTGAAAATTGCTTTTTTCTGATGTCATTTTCTGATGTGCCATGTCAGATTCCACAATACAATATTTAAATGCTTAAACATCATCCATTATTCAGTATATGTGAGAACCTGAAATGAGTTGTTTTTGTAGTAATTGAAAAGGTTACATTCATCCCTTCTCAACATCTTCAATTGTATACTGTATCCAGCAGTATCCACTGATTAAGCAATAACTTGAGGCATTCATTTTAGAAATAAGCGTTCACAATACTTGTATACTTTCAGAAATTACACATTTGTTCATATGACTTTATATGTGGTTCCAGAAATGTTTGCAGGCATTTGGCCTTGATTTCAATTTTACCTAGTTATACAATACTAGTAAAATAGTCTGTCTAATATTAATGTGAGAATATTGAAATTTAGAAAACAATTACATTTTATAAGAAAGTAATACCTTCAAGTAGGATCCTACTTGCTGCATAGGAATCAGGATCAGGTGATATGGAGCTATAAAGCTGGAAACAAGCAATCCCTGCCTTTGCTTCATTTTACCTGCTATGACTCCTAAATATTTGAGCAGCATTCTGCCCAGTCTGGGTGCTTGATCAGTGGGGCTCTGGTTATACCCAGGTCCTACTGAGACCTGGACTATAGCCAGAGCCCCACTGGGAAGAATCAGCCCTTATGTCGCTTTTATTAGCACTCCTGGGCTCTGATTGAAGGAATGTGGGCATTCAAATTGATCATGAATTAAGGATCAATGAGGAGAGTGATCTCAGTTCCAGCAAAGAAGGCAAATACTGTGGTAATCATGGAGATCTCCATCAGAGCTGCTGATCCATTCTTATCCTGACTGGAAGTTATTTTACAGCTAAAGCTGACAAATTGAAATTGGATGTGAGGCAAAAAATGTGATTCCCCTGGGTTCGGACTCAAATATCAACAAAATAAAACGAAAAACCTGAGGCAGTATGGTCCGATCCTTTATCTGATACCATTGTCTCCATCCAGGCTATGTACTTGAAAGCTGCAATTTCTGACTGTAGGTGGGTGATTATGAATCTTTGCTGTCAATTGCTTCTTTGTGCTGTCATCTTGTGTTATGCCTTTTCTGAGTCCCCACATATGTTTAAATGCTTACATTTTATCATTTATCCACTGTGTATTAGTTCCTGAAATGACATGCTTGTTTGTGGGTGCAAATGTTATTTTTCCCATTCTCTGAAAGTCCCCAGTTTCAATACTGTATACAACAGTGTCCCGATGATTAAGCAATAAACAGATGCACTACTTTTAAAAGAAAATAGTCATAATACTTGTATACTCTCAGAAATTGCACATTTGTTCATAAAATATTATTTGTGGTTCCACAATGTATGGATGCATTTGAAACCCATTTTGATTTTACATAGCCACATCATGCTCATAAAATATAATGTTTAAGACTAATGTGAGACTATTGAAATTTAGAAAAAAACTCACATCTTGAAAAAGAAACAGTACCATCAAATCCAGGATTCTACTTGCTGCATAGGAAACAGGATCAAGTGGCTCGGAGCTATAATGCTGGAAATCAAACCATCTCTTCCTTTGCTGCTTTCCACCACTCTGACACATGCATAACTGAGGAGCAGTCTGCCTAGTCTGGGCAATTGTACAGCCCGGCTTTGGTTATACCAGTTCCTATTGTGAGTCCTGGACAATAGCCAGTGCTCGACTAGAAAGAACCCACACTGCAGATGCTTTAATTAGCACTCGTGGGCTCTGATTGAAGGAGTGTGTGCATTTAAATAAAGCAGAAAATAACTACCAATGAACAGAGCAATATCAAATTCAGCAAGTAGGGATTCATCCTGTATTTGCTTCTGGGGCTGAGTACCTGGATATGTACTTGATAGACTGAAACCTTCTTTTGTGGATCTGGGCTGGCAATTACAGCTTGTTGCTCTATTTTCTAATTTGCCATGTTATCTTCCACAACAAGGTTTACTTCCATAGAGAATAGGATCCCATGAAGTCGGTAAATGCAGTAGACACACATCCCTGTGTCAGTATCGGTGTTCCTAAGTCTGCAACAACTGTCAACCCCCTTCAGGTGGGCTTGGTTGTTCTCATGCTCTTTCACTACCAGTCTAGTTGGAGTTGGTGTGCTCTGCAAACTTTCTCAGTGGATGGGCCTTTCATCATCTTGAATTCCTTGCTCATACTCTTACTACCTCCACTATTCAACTGGATATTGTAAGTTCAATCTAATGCTTCGATATGGGTCACTGCCTCTGTTCCCCATCTATTGTTGAACAAAGGTTCTATGGTGATACTTAAGATAAGCATCAGTCTGACTACAGGGTAAGGTCAGTTCAGACACGCTCTCCTCTATTGCTTTAGGTATCAGCTGGGTTCATCCCTGGGGGTTCTTGGTTATTTTTCTAGAACCAGGTTTCTTGCTAACTCTATAAGGTCTGATCTCCAAAATATATAGAGAACTCAAGAAACTAGACTTTAAAATGCTAATTAACCCAATTAAAAAAATGGGGCACTGATCTGAACAGAGAATTCTCAACAGAAGAAGTTCAAATGGCCAAAAGACACTTAAGGTCATGCTCAACTTCCTTAGCAATCAGGGAAATGCAAATCAAATCAACTTTGAGATATCATCTTACACCTGTCAGAATGGCTAAAGTCAAAAACACCAACGATAACCTTTGCTGGAGAGGTTGTGGAGGAAGTGGTACCCTCATCCATTGCTGGTGGGAATGCAATCTTGTGCAACCACTATGGAAGTCAGTGTTTCGGTTTCTTAGGAAATTCGGGATCAACCTACCCCTGGACCCAGCAATACCACTCTTGGGAATATACCCAAGAAATGCCCTATCATATGACAAAAGCATTTGTTTAACTATGTTCATAGCAGTATTATTTGTAATAGCCAGAACCTGGAAACAACCTAGATGCCCTTCAATGGAAGAATGGATGAAGAAAGTATGGAATATCTACACATTAGAGTACTACTCAGCGGTAAAAAACAATGACTTCTCAAATTTTGCATGCAAATGGATGGAAATAGAAAACACTATCCTGAGTGAGGTATCCCAGACCCAAAAAGATGAACATGGGTTGTACTCACTCATAATTGGTTTCTAGCCATAAATAAGGGTCACGGAGTCTACAATAGGTGAATCTAAAGAAGCTAAGTAAGAAGGGGAACCCAAGGAAAAACATATAGGCATCCTCTTGGCTAACGGAAGTAGACAAAAATGTCGGGGAGAAATTTGGGATCTTGGGGGTGGGGTGGGTTGGGGTAAGGGGAGATGGGGAGAGAAAAATATTTCCCTTTATTGAGATATCTCTTTCCTTGCTCTCATATCTGTGCTTCCTACATCACAACCATCCCATTCCCTAAAGTCCTCCTCTATCTCTCTTCTACCTCATTTCTATGCATTTCTCTCCTCTCTCACGTATTCATCTGGTTCCAATTTCCAGGTGGGTCTATTTATATTTGGGGGGGTTCACCTTATTAATTAGTTTCTCTAGGATCCCGCGCTATAGGCTCATTGCCCTTTCTTTATGACTAGTATCCACTTATGAGTGAGTACATACCAAATTCATTTTTTGGGGGGTCTGGATTACTTCTCTCCGAATGATGTTTTCTAATTCTATTCATTTGCATGCAAACAACATGTTCTTCTTCCTTAGCTATCAGGGAAATGCAAATTAAAACAACCTTGAGATACCATCTTACACCTGTGAGAATGGCTAAGATCAAAACACTAATAATAACTTATGCTGGAGAGATTCTGGAATAAAGGGAACACTCATCTATTGTTGGTGGAAATAGAAACGTGTGCAGCCAGTTTGGACGTCCGTATGGCAGTTAATAATAAAACTGGGAATCAACCTACCTCAGGATTCAGCAATTCTACTCTTGGGAATATATCAAAAAGATGCTCGATCATACTCTGATAGTATTCAACTATATTCATAGCTGCATTAATTGTAATAGCCAGGACTAGAAACAACCAAGTTGCCCTGAAGAACAGATAAAGAAAGTATGGCAGGTATAGATATTAAGTACTACTCAGAAATAAAAAATAATGACATCATGCAATGGTATATTTGCAATGTCAGAATGCCATAGTGTTTCTCAAAGGTACAGAAGTAGCCAATTAAAGTATGCAATCTCATAATTGTACGAACTCAGAGTTTTTATTTCTGTGCTTCGTAGCCTGAGAAAATATGGTAATTATTTTTTTCATGATATTAATACATGAATTCCAATAACCATCAACAGAGCTTTTTTTTTTTAATTTCCACAGAGCATCCTGCTAATGCAGCTATGCATACACTGTGTAGATTCTAAATCATAAAGCAAGAATAACAGGAGATATTAAGCAGAGAACCACAGATATTCCTTATATGCCGCTAAATATTTTATACCTTTTCTGTCTTTGAGGTTATATTTTGTATTTCCCACCTTTCGGCCTAGTTGTCAGTAACTTCTAAATTAATGACAGTCATCACCTACATTTGAATAATATGATTAACTCCAATAGATGGAAGAAATACTGCATAAAGAACAAGTGTCCAAGAATCTGAGAATACAATGACCAGAGGCCTATATAAAACCTATGTCTATCATTCAGATAGGGCAATGCAAAGAAAGAGAGGCTTAATGATATACCCCTAGATCAGTGCTTAATTGTCTCCAAAATGTATTTTCTGTATATACTGAAAGGAAAATAACACAACGATGGGCAGGCAGGCTCTTTTTAAAATCAACTAGAGACTTTGTGGGACCGTGTTGCAATGTTACTTGTCATTAAAAACCCCACTGATCTATATTGAAAAGAAGACAGAAAAAAACTATGTGAATTAATCCATCGCGCCAGTGTCTTCTTGCCTCAACTTTACTATCCATCATTGGTCCTCCGAGGCTGAGATAAGAGACACAGGTCATGCATGGGATCACAATGCACAAAAGCACCAGAAGCATTAACAGAGAAACCTGGTGTGTTAATTTCTTTCATGTCGAGAATGTAACAATAGTCTGTCACTAACAGAAACGAATTGATTTCCAATAAACCTCATGAATGGCTAATGATATGGAGAGGGATGGAATGACAAGGAAGGAAGAACAAAGTACTAGAGTTCATATATTCCAAAAAGTATATGTCCTATACAATAATTTCTGGTCTCCCTTGCCTGGGGAAAGGTAGGATGACATCTTCAAAATGTTTTCGTGATATTGTCATAGACTCTAGGAGTTGACAATGAACATTGACCCATGCCATAGCAATCCCACAGTGGATCTCCCTAGTGTTTGTAATACATGAACATCTGCAAAGGTTTATCTTCCTTACAAAAGATATACCTCTTCAGAGCTGAGGAAGGGATTGCACATCTTAAAGAGAAGGTGTAATTGCAGAAACAGGAAGCTACTTGCTGCACAGGAGGCAGGAGCGGGTGGCTTGGTGTGCTAATGCTGGGAATATAATCATTGCTTCCCTTGTGAAATTCTCCAGGTTCTGACTCCTCCTGCACAAGTCAGAAGCAGGGTGCCTTGTCTGGATCAATGTACAATGGGGCTTTCGTTATACCCAGATCCAACTGAGAATTGGTTGATAACTAGACCCTGACTAGTAAGAAGCACTCCTTTCTCTGATTGAATATTGTGGGCACTCAAATTGAGCATGAAATAAGAACCAATAAGGATCTCGATCCTAGTCATGGAGACAAAATCCTGCTGTGCTCTTGGAACTCTCCATCGGAGCACCTGATTCATTCGTATACTCACATGAATGTATTTTCTAACTGAAACTGTCTAATGTAGAGTGGAAGTGAGGGAAAATGTAATTTGTCCAGGGCTCTGGCTTCAATTATCAAAAAGAAAAATCATATTCTGGCAAATGGAGGTAGTACTCAAACTGGTTGTTTATACTAACAACCTGAATATTTACATGAAAACCTTGGTCTCTTCCAGGAGCAGGGTGGTTTTGGTTCTTTTTATCAATTGCTGAAAGTAGATGTAAAGCTTTGTCATATTACCCAAGCATGAATATTATATTCTGAAATTAAGCTTTTCTGCAGTATGTATTTTTAAAGTAAGTATGTTTGTATTTTAGCATGCATGCATTATTGTTTGTACATATGTAAGCATACTTCTATGAATGAAAATATTTATTTCTATTTGTGTATATATATATAAATGTATTTATGTATTTTTGTATGAATGTAGGGATTTATTTTTTTGTATGCATGTATGCACATATGCATGCATGCATGTATATTTTATGCATGTATTTAGGTATATTTGTATGTATGTATGTGCACGTATTCATCTGCCTGAAAAGAGATGAGTGTTCTCCTGTGGAAATGTTACTTATAGGCCCTGCACTGCTCATCCTTATTGGCTAAACAAATGTCATGTTTATAAAGCAATAATCTGAGGTCTTCTTTCAAAAAATATTCAGGATGCATGAATATTTGGAATAATTGCACATTTCTATGAAAGACCCTGTTTCTATACTTATCTTCATGCCTTTGGCAAAATATGCATTTGATAATTTTGGTTTCACAGAGCCAATTCATACTTGTAGACAGTTCTCTACAGTGGTAGTATGTTATTATTGGAATTTTGAACCAATTTACTTCATTCCAATCACTAGAATTTCTCTCCAATCATCAGGCCATCCTTAATACACTGACTTAGTCTCTTTTCTGTAAAATATGTTTTCAGGTAGATCCACTGTATGTGCATGGAAATTTTTAACATAACTCTGTTTTTGTTATAAAATTATTTAAAAGTCTGGAGACTTAGTATTACAGTACATACATTTAAAAATTTAGATGATTGGCAGAACAATAGCTAAAATTTCTGAACCAATATTAGTATTTGTGGTAGGACTGCAAAGAAAATAAATGTGGTGAAACACCTTGAGAGTCTATTGTCATGTATTCTTAGCCTGTTTCAGAATATAACTAGTAAGATGATAACACCAAGTGAAAGCAAAATGTATAGGAGCCAAATTTATTATTTAAAAGAACTTTCAATAGAAACAAAAAACTAAAGCCAAGCTAAGGAATGGATTCGATGTTGGTAATATATTAGGAGAAACAGAAAATAGGGGTAGTTGTCATAATACATAACTATTACCTATGGCAGGGGATAATCTAGAAGAAGAATCTGTACAAGGTCTAAGAACAGAACAATGCAATTTCAGATGCAAAATGCTGAAAGATTTCTTGTTCTTATGCCCCTGTGTGACTGAATAGTAGTACCCAGACCTAACTCATCTCACTTTTCCTTGTGAGGGCTGTTCTAAACAGGCCTCCTTTACTCAATTCTTGTTTCTTTCAAAAATATCAAATATACATCTCTGTGTTACAGAAAAAAAGTTTCAGTAATAAGTATTATTTTGAAATTATTCATTATCCAAAAACAAGAAAATACATAATGAGTCAATAATTTTCCATTTGTACCTAGATTCTACTATTCATGGATTGTTCAGTTAAATTATGTCACAGGGTATAAAACTTAAAGCAAAAATGAATATTCCCATCATGTAAGGTGGCAGAAAAACAAAGCTGTCATCATCAAGAAAAAGAATAGCACATCTCCTTAAGAGTTTAAAAATTGTGGTGATCAGGTTTGTTATAAAGAATGCATAAGTCCTAAGATACAGTGATGTCCTAAAATTTTGAAACCCCGACACAAGTAGACTGATTTGTATGTGTTTTATATGTTACTACTCATAGATTATCAGGTACTTGCCTCTGAGATGGTAAAAAAACAAATGAGCTTTTAATTGTGAAATCTTATCAGTCCTGTTTGAACACAATAAATATATTTTTCCCTTGTACTGACATTTCTTGTTATATGTATAACCATTTTTCCTTTCTGCCCACCTCCTCATAGGGAATGTAGACACTCCTGTCTGTGGTGTGGACAGCAGTGTTTTTGCACACATAATGGGGATGGAAGGATCCAGCAGTGGAGAAGGGACACAGACATAGTGTGGAAACTTGCAGCTAAAAGCTGTCATCAACCACATTATTCAAATTAACAGAGCATGCATCCCTGTACCACATTCCCTCCTCAGAGGTCATACATCACAAAAAAAGTAAGGCAAAATACCCCACATATGCATCAGAGATAATCTTTTCAGGTCTTTCTTCATAAGATGTCAATAAAGGAAAGAACAACTTTCCAGTAGCCATGATATTTCTGGAAAAATTAAATATTGTCAGTTCCGCCACCCCTGTAAATATTTCATAATCAGAGACAGTACCATGCTGTCTAACCCTATTACACCACCTTTTAATAAATTCCATACAGTGGACGACTGAATTCAAAGGAGTTTAAATTTTACTATAGAACCCAGATTGCAAAGTTGAATTTATGAAACCCATAAAATCAGAAGGATGGGAATGAGGATGATATCTAATCTTACTATTTTGTACAAAAAGACAGTGAAACAGGGAAAATAGTTTCTGATAATCTCCAGCGGCCATGTGAATACTACCACTGCAGAGCAATTTTTCTCTATGGAGTGAAGGTACACTCCATATTGTTCGCTGTTCGATAATTATTTCCAGTCTATCCTAGTCCTCCTAGCAGATGATACAGGACTCTGAGGCTAAGACAGGGAAGATAAAGCTTAGAGGAGAAATGGCTTAAGAGGCAGGAATATATTCCGTGCACAGTAAACAGGAACAGTTGCCTCGGAGCAGAAGTAGCAGGTATCTAAGCATTTTCCTATCTGTTCTAAGTCTCCAATGGCTCTGCCTCCCACGGGTGTCAGCAGCAGGCTTCCTTCTCTGGAGCAGTTTACTGTCAGGCTATGGCTAGATCAGCTACCAGCTGATAGCTGGACTGTAGCCAGGAGCCTGACTGCTAAAATGGCCAGGTGAGGAAATAATGGGTTTGGGAAATAATATAAGCAAATTGTCAGTGTGAGGCCTGTGATAACTGAGGAAATCTGTCTTTTCCCTTTCATCCTCTGATTAAATAACTCAAACCATCTTATTAA